GAATCACCTAAAGATGACCCAACAGAGGATTTACTGAAGTAAGTCCCAATGGAATCCCCAAGAGACAAGACGACATATAGGGGACAAGCAGATTATTCTCTCCTCTGGAGCAGCATGGCATCAAGGTAGCCCATTTCCAGCAAGGACCCAGAAAAAGCCAGGGACGGTGGTACAGGTCTGTTATCCTAGTTGTTCAAGAGGCTGAGGCAGGAGGGTTTCAAGTTTGAGGCCAGCCTGATCAACCTGGCAATATCCTGTCTCAAAGTATTTTAGTCACCTTCATAATCACTTAGGCGAGGTTTCATATGGGACACATTTCAGTCTATAATCAACTGGCCCCAAGGCAGGACAGCATGGCCCAGGGGCATGGTGGAGGAACAGCTGCTCACGGCATGGCATCCAGCAAGCAGACAGTGAAGAGAGGAGCCAGGGAGGGAGATACACCCTTCCAGGCCATGGCCTCAGGGACCCACCTCCTCTAACGACAGTACATTTAGCCACTTTCTAAAGCTACCTTTACCCAACTTCTAAGAGCGTATTTAGCTGTAAACTTGGCCCTTAAAAGACTCGTGCCCATCTCTTTATGTAAAAGGCATTTATCCATCTCCAAGAGTTGCCAAGTCTTAAAGAGTTCCAGCACTGCTGAAAATTCAAAGTTTCCTCTCAAACTTAAGGCAAACTCTTGGCTGTGAGCCTCTGTAAAAACAGAAAAGAAAGTCATACACTGCTAACATACAATGGCACAAGATAAACATTTCCATTCCAAAAGAGAGGGCGAGGAGATAGAAATAAATGGGGGGACTGAAGGGAGGGGAGTAAAATGGGGGGGGGGAAGCAGCAAGATAGACCATGTACAGGTACAAATTCCCTACAAAAAAAGAAAGAAAGAAAGCCCTAAACCCAACAGAGTGAACATTAAATCCCACAGTTCCATGTCCAGAATCCAGGGCAAGCTTTGGTGAGCTGTGAATTCCAGGGACCCTGTGCACTGCCAGTGGCTGTCACTCCCACAACTCTTGGACTGGCTTTGCTCACTCCTTGCAGCTTTCCTCAGATGGTCCCCATGTTCTTGGCCCCTCCAACCTCCAGGGTCTCCACTGCATTTTTAGCTTCACACACTGCCCTCTCAGGGGCACACTGCCTAACCTCTCAGATTTTCTGCTACAATCTGGGTATAAGCCTGACCTCACCACTCTTCCATTCTGCATGCCTGTAAAACCAGCACCATATGGATGATACCAAGGTCTGCTACCATTTCAAACAGTAGCCAGTCCCCCTTGGGTTATGGCTGCAGAGGCCCCCCGAGTGCCTCGATGGATGGCTGACTACTGTGAACTGAATCCCAAAGAACTAAATTCCTGAGTGGTACAAGATAACCTGCACTGCTATCAGTGAACTGATTCACTGCAAAGTATAGTGTCTCTATGATCCAATCACTTCCCAAAAACTCCATCTATGAGCACATGAGGCTTTGGGAAAACAACTAGATTTAAACCATAACACAAAGTTAAAAACAAATTCAGGCTTAGGCTACATCTCAGCAGTGAGCACTTACCTAGCAGGTACAAAGCCCTAGTTTCAACCTCCAGTATTGCAAAAAAAACAAGCAAATAACCCAGGAGGGGACACAGTAGACTTCACAGAGCCTTCTCTTCATACATAAAAGAAGAATTTTTCTGTTGAAAGAGAAACCACAACAGATGGCTTGGTTCTAGAGCCATGAAGAGCCAGATGGAGTGCTCAGTTCCATCACCTCCTGCCCAGGTCACCCCAGCCCTCAAGTCCTCAACTAGCAATTATACTGGCCTTCCCTTTACAACCCCAAGGGCAAGGGAACAGCAGGAAGGAGTTCAAACAGCATCATCTAACAGACTTCTGACTGGGAGGCATTATGATAATATATCTCTGCAGCCCAGCTCTCAGGGCCATTTCCCTGCTTCTGCAACAGCCCACTCGCCTGTTCCACAAGGTACTGCCCATTACCAAGTCCTTTGGAAGCTCTTGCTTCTATACTCACCCCCAGCCATGCCACTCTTGGGTAGCACTAATTCCTCTGTCCAAGTGCCTTACAGCAATTTGTCTGTACCAGTATCCCAACTGTAAGGATGGTAAGGATGGGTCTGTTCTGCAAACCTGGGCTCCTTCAGGGTCAGACCCTGATTTAATGGCCATCCCCCTCCCTTTCTTCTACTGAGAAATGAACTCCACAGTGAGCTTATATTCCTAGCCTTTTTTGTTTGTTTGTTTTGAGAAAAGATCTCACAAAGTTGCTAAATTGCCCGGGCTGGGTTTAAATTTGTGATCTTTCTGTCTTGGTTTCTTAAGAGTGCTGGGATTGGGGCTGGGGTTTTGGTTAGTGGCATAAGCACTTGCCTTGCAAGCAGGCGGTTGTGAGTTCAATCCCTGGTACTGATAAAAAGATTTAAAAAAAAAGAGTGCTGGGATTATAGGCATGCACCACTATGCCCATCTCTTGTTGGCTTTGTTTCTCTGATGCTGGACACAGATCTGGCAGACACAAATGCTCAAGGAATGGTCTAATGGGAAAAGGCCAAGATGCAAGGGAAGCCCCTGCCTGACTGCCTTTCCTGGACACCTCTGACAAACCTCACCATTCATTGTCAATCTTACCCTTCTCTGGAAACCAAATGTCCAATTCCAGCTTACTGCATATAGCTCAAGGCATGTGCTGACACAGGTGCCCCCAAAAAGCTGCCCTGTCCTGGCCTTCATGGTAGGAACCCTGGCCTTCATGGTCCGGGCCCCAGATGTGCTGCTCTCAGTCCCTGAACAAGTCTTTCCCTCCCTGACCATCCCTCTCCATCTATGGAACATGATGGTAGGGGCAATGCTAATATTTTATAGGCGATTCTCTCAATGGGTGGCCTGTGGGGTAAATCTACCTTGCAAATGTATTTTGTTGACTTTCACATTATGTAAAACTTGCTTATTTCCAACTTATACTAAATAATCAGAAAAGTGGTCAGCACTGGTTCATTTTCTCTTGTGGCACACCTGGCTGAAGCTGAGCAGGGCCCGCACTAGTTTGCCATAATCTCCACCCCCCGCCCCTTAGGCCCCATCTGTCACTCATTGTCTCCTAGGCATTTGCGTTTATAACCCCTGATCTTTAGTTCCCAACCCTGTCTGCTAGCACTCTAGAATGACCAGTGCGGGCACTGACAAATGCCTAGGACCTCACACAGTTTCACCTGGGCTTGGGGTAGAGCCAGGATAACAGCACTTGTGGAAAAGCCTCTCAGTGATACCACTATACGTCAGGGCTGTGAGCTACTGGTCCAAGGAGCTCCCGCTATGGGGAGCCACCTCACCTGCATAAAGAGGCAGCTGCCAGGAAAGGAAAGAAGGAAGAAGCAGGCCAGATTACAGCATCTATAGGTGCCTCTGGGAAACAAACTTCACCCCCATCCTTCCCCAATGGTAGGACTTCAGCTTTTCAGGCACAAAGAGGAAGAGCTCTATGAGTATGACTCAGAAATGACCACCCAGGCCTGCCCTCCTTGTCCATCTGTGCACCACCTGGGTGGAGGCCTTCCCAGGTTATGCCAGGGCCCCTCCTGCACCACTGTACAAGTTCCCATCTTCCTTGCCAGTTCCTGCCTTCCTCTCCCATCTGGACACTTGCCCATGCACAGATCTCTTTAAAGAAGCCCACTGTTATGGTTTATATCTAGATGTCCCCTCAAAGCCTCAAGTGCTCATAGATGGGGCTTTGGGGAGGTGACTAAATCATGGGTGTCTAAATCTATGAGTGGTTTAGTCCACTGGTGAGTTTTGAGCTAAATGTGATGTTGAGGGGTGAAGTCTGGTGTGGAAGGTGGGTCACTGAGCGTGGCCTGGAAGGGCCTATCTCCCTCCTCCTCCCTCTATCTCTGTCTCTCTCTGCTTCCTGCCTGCTGTATCACAAGCTCTTTCTCCTTTTCTTGCTGCCACGCTGCCCTGCCTTGGAACCAAATGACTATGGACTAAAACCTCTACAAACTGGAACCTCCACAAACTGTGAGCAAAAATAAATCTCTCCTTCCTCAAGCTGTGGGTATCAGGTATTTTGTCCCAATGATGAAGAAAGTAACTAAGATACATGCCCTGACTAAAATCAGCTGTCTGCAACAGGCTTGCTCAGGTGGCTCATCACCATCAGCACTTTGTTTCTCTAAACAGAATGTTAGACCTTGTTTCTACTCCCAGCAGATAGGAAATGTCAAAAGGGGGGAACTTCTGGGCTGGGGATTTAGCTCAGCGGCATAAGTGCCTGCCTTGCAAGCAGGCAGTCCTGAGTTCGATCCCCCGTACCGATAAAAAGACAAAAAAAAAGGCGGGGGGGACTTCTATTACTTCCTGTGCCCTCTGCATTTCTTCTGTCCCATCAGTTTACAAACATACACAATTACCCAGAATGCAGCTCCCTCCATGGGTGGCAGAGGGACGGAAGGACTGCTGTGTAGAGAAGGGAGCAGGCACTACTTGTCCATCTAGAGGAACCACTTCAACAGACTGACTCCACAATGCCCACCTGCTGACCTCTTGTCTATGTCTGTGCCAGGCACCCACATCTACTCTGTGTGCCCAGAGCCAAAATGCCACTGTTCCTGGCATGGCTCACTCCTAAGCTGAGAAAGCAGCATAGGAGAACAATGCTAGCTTAAGGATGAGAAGGGCTCATTCAAGGCTACTGAGAGTTAACTATTCATGGGCCTCAGGACCCAAACACCCTGCTGTCTTGATCAGACAAGAGATGCAACCCAGGACTCATCCAGAGTCTTGACCCTTGACCAGTCACCTTGACCAGTCAGAGTCATAGCTGCTGTAGCTACCCTCAGCTGAGATAGAGGTTTTCAGGCTATATGAAGGACACAGAGCCATCTTCAAAGCCTACCTCTGGGAACAAGTCCAAGTGACCACAAAAGAACCAATGCTGGTGACATGTCCTACACAGCATCAGAGCCACTCCCTGTTGGCCTGAGCTCAGCAGGGCCTACCTCGGAGCTGACTGAACGTGGTCATGAACTTGCTGGTGAGGGACTTGAGCTCGTTGTTAGCCAGCGTGATGAGGTGGATCTGGTCCGAGACATTCCGCAGGACCTTGTAAATGCCGATGGGGAAGGAAACCAGCTTGCACTCGGCCAGGTCTGCAGGCGAAGGACAAAGACAGACCAGAGTTACCTGCGTCAGCTGCCCAGGAACTCCACCCGGCTCTTGCCCTCCCGCCTTTCTCCCGTCTACCAGGCTTCAGCCCCTGCCTGACCACTTCCAAGAGCCCCTGCCAGCATTAACTCACACCTGTCCCTCCTTCACTCCCCGGATCTTGGAGGTTAGCCTGTCACCTCCCCTATTCCACTGTCTCCTAGGCAGAATGCAGAAGACAGAACCAGCATTCACAGCAATGACCTCCAGAGCCTGCAGAAACCACTGGAGCCATCAAAGGCTCAACAATGAAGGAGACATCTTCAGACTCCTTCCCCTGGGGTTTGCCCTTCTAGTGCCGTCAGCTGAAGACGAGCCTCACACTTCAGCAGGGAAGCACTGCTTCAGCAGCCCAGGCCAGAAGTCCTCAGTGCTTAACAGTTTTCACACAAACTGGGGATGCCGCTCCTACACACACACTCGGGAGAAGGGAAGACACACAGAAGCACACGGCGCCCACAGCAGGATCACTCACCACAGCCTGAAAGCAAAAACAGCCCAAATGGCCATCAGCTGAGGAGCAGGTCAATAAAATGTGATCTATCCATAAAAAGGAGAATTATTCAGCATGAGAAGGCATGGAAGTACCAGCACACTCTGTAACGCGGACAGACTGAACACATGATACCAAGATACACAAGCCGGTCACAAAGGCCGAATCTTGCACGGCTCCACGTATATGAGAGGACCAGAACTGGCATTTTTTTTTTTTTTTTTGGTCTTTTTCGTTTTTATCGGTACCAGGGATCGAACTCACGACTGCCTGCTTGCAAGGCAGGCGCTTATGCCGCTGAGTTAAACACCCAGCCCCCGGCATTTTTGATCTTTAGAGTTTTTTATCTTTAGATTTTAAGGCTGATTATTTTCTAGTTAGGTCTCATTTTCAAAGAAACAGGGAATACAGTTTTTAAAGGTCCTATTTCCAGTAATAACAATAATATAAAGTATATGAAATAATCGTAATTGAAGCCCTTCTCCTGCAACTGTCCCATGGAATTTTTATGCTTGCTTCAAGTCCCAGTTCAAATGTCACCTGTCACCTCTGATTGTCCTGAGCAGCTGTTGCACCTGCCCCTGCATCTCATGAAGTGCGCGCGAGCCCTCCTCATCCTGCTCCTTTTAACCCTCCTTGGGTCTGTTTTCCCACTGGTCTGGGGAGATGCCCAGAGTACAGGTGGGGAAAAGGTCCATGGGGCTCCTCTGTGGGGCACCTAGCAGCAAACGTGACTGCTTCCCTTGGCCCAGGCTTCAGGCCGCCTTGGCTTTGCTGCTGTTCAGTGTGGGTGACAGCTCAGCTCTTCTAACAGAGAAGCCTTGGCAGAAGACAGCACCACGTCCTGCAAGGGAGGGACAGATGCCCAGAAGCTGGGCTTCAGAAGACAGAGATCAATGGCTCTGCTGGAACTGGACCAGCACTGCAGCTCAAGGGTTTGGGGACAGCTGTGGATTCTAGAAAGAGCAGTACTTTCAAACAACGAACCCCTGGCATTTTGTGTCTGATGCAAAGAGCTGGAAAATGGTTCCAGTTGCTGTGAGTTATACCAGCCACTTCAGGCAGGAGCAGACAGATCTCATCACACACACCGGGAACATAGTCAAAGGACAGCAGAAGCTGTCTCTTGAAACCAAAGAGCAAAACAAAGATGCCTTCAATCACCAGCATCCCTGAATATGGTCTTGAACGTTCTGGCCAATGGAATGGAAAACAGACATGGAAATAGGCAAAATAATAATTACTTGCAAATGAAATGATTGCATAAGCTCAAAAACGCACAGCAGTCATCTGACAAAGGACAGGAAGTAAGAGCCCAGAAAAGCGGCTAATTGAAATGAACAGATAAAACAATGCAATCATATTCCTACATACCAGCAACCAAACATCATTTTTAAAGATCCTGTTCTGCATCAGGAACAATATAAAACAAAGAGAGCTAATTACAATGGGAAATGTTTCTGACCACCATGAAAGTAAGTAGGAAAGTTCAACATGATGTTATTTTTGTCAGTAGTGAAAGTCAAACACAAGAGCACATAACCCTCAAGCGCGTTTTATATTTTTGTTTTGAGACAGGGTACCCCTACGTTGCCTGGGGTGGCCTTCAATTTATGATCCACCTGCGTCAGCCTCTTGAGCATACCCATATACGCTTTTTAAGTGAAATTAACTTTTAAATTGATGTAATTCCTAACCCCAACCCTCAAAAGACTTCTAAAACCTGACTAAATGCTTTTAAAGTTCAATTTGGAGAATAAGCAAGTAAGATCACGATTAAAAAATAAGGTGAGGTTATAACCAATACAAGGCCATAACAATTAAAAGACGGTGGAAGGAAAAATAAATCATAGAAAATACAGAATCTGGTGGTTTTATGTCATAATTTAATATATGCTAAAGGAGGCCTCACGATTAAATTGGGGAAGAAAAGGATTCATCAACAAATGTTGAAAAAACGAAAAAGAATCAACCTAAGAATCAAAATAAATTCTAGATAGAAATATATGTATTTTGAGACAGAGTCTTGCTTTGCAGACTGGTCTTGAACTCACTGCCTAGCCCAAGTTGGCCTCAAACTCATGATAACACTCTTGCCCCAGTCTCCCAAGTGCCACTACACTGGGATCTGCTTTTAATATTTTTAAAACTCAACAGAGAAACCAGAAATAAACTCTATACAACCTCTTAATTAAAGATGACTTCCCTAAGCCATGCCACTGAAGAACCACCAGTGAACAGAGCAACAAAAACTGCACAAAAATGTTTATTATTCGAGACAGGGTCTCACTCTATAGCTCAGTGTGGGCCGAAACTCTCAGTAACCCCCCTGCCTCAGCCTCCTGAGTGCTAGGAATACACGCATGCATCACCATACCCAGCCTACAAAAAATTTTAAATCCTTTGACACCTGCAGTTGAAAGGGCATAAGAAGTTGGATCACCACATCAGCCTGGGGTACATCAAGGTCGGTCTGAACTACATGGTGAGAACCTGTCTCAAAAAAACAAAAAAAATCACACACACACAATTTTAAAATGTAATTAATAAGCAAATACATTGCCTCTGATATGTACCGCCAAACTGTTTTCTAAGTTTTGCATATATCCTATTCAACAAATAACAGAGGCTGGGTGTGGCAGCGCATGGTTGCAATCCCAGAAGTCAGGAGGCTGAGGCAAGAGGGTTGCTGCAAGTTCGAGGCTGACCTAGGCTACAAGGTGAGTTCAAGGCCCACCTGAGCAACATAGCAAAACTTTGTCTCAGAAGACCAGCAAAACAAAACAAAACACAAAACAAAAAACCCCAGAATCATTTAAAGAAAAAAATTGCTAATATGATCAGGGAAATGGTGTCCTTGCTTTAATTTGAAATGCTTTCAGTGATGAAACTGATTATATTTCATGGTTAATTAACCATTTTTTATTTTCCCTGTTCAAAGTGCTATTCACCTCTCTTGCAATTTTTCTATTTGGAATTCTGATACTTTTTTTACCCACAGGATGGCAAAGCTCCTTAATTAGTGTTATTGCTACAGCAAGCAGAAACACTAAAATGACACCCAGGATTTGGAGGCAAATTTCTTTTATGTCATCAGGCACTGATCGGGATCATTCCCAAAATATCAGGCCTCAAAGGCCCAGGGAAGGAGGTTTTCATGGGGTTGCAAAGGGGAGGTGGAGAGGTAGAGTTCTTGGTTGTCTTTGATTGGTTTTTACAATATGACCAGCTGTGCATCACAGTGATTAGCTGTTTCTGAGAAACAAAACAAATTGGAACTGCAACAGGAACTGTTACCAGGGCAACTAAAGGATACTGGCTGGCGGGGAGGGCATTTCCTGCTACATTATCATCCCATGTTTGTTGATTGATTTTATTACTTAAGGGTTCACATTGCAGCGTTTAAAGCAAAATATAAAAACTGAGCCAAGTATGCTGAAAAAGGAGGATTAATTAAGCCTAGGAGCTTAGGGCCAGTTGGGACAACATAGTAAGATTTTATCTCAAAAACTGATATGTACAATGTAATTGCTACTAAGTGAAAAAAAAAGTACACATGCCTGGGAAGGACAATAAAATAAAAAAAAAAAATCAGAGAAAAGCATTTTTTGCATGATTTCAGCAATTTATGGTTCTGACATGTTTCTTTCATATAAGTAAATTACCACCATATATTCATATGCAAACCACTTGTTAAGTACAGGTACTTATATAAAGTGGCACTTTACTGTTAAATAGAAAAATACCCTTATCATGTTAACTTTGACTGGGGAAAACAAAAACCTGGCAAATTCAAGGGTAGGCTGAGGACAGCCAGCACCTCATCAATAAGAGAACAGGGAAAAGCAGACCCACAAAAGAACCACAGAACCACAGAAACATCTGAACTCTGTGTGCGGGAGGGGCAGATGCTATGAAATGGAACCTTCGGGGCTCAGGCAGCATGGAGGATCTATACAATGGGGTCCCAGTCTCCAAAGTGGGGAAAGAAAGTGCTCTGTGAAGGGAAGGGAAAGGAGACAAACCACAAGGCTACATTATTTTGGTTATTTCCAAGGGTCTAGGAGCAGCCTGTCTCCCCAACAGATCAGCCCACAACGGCCAGCCCAGTCTGGTTCCTACCGCCCGGGCATCTGTATCCCATCTCTACCTCACACCATTCTACTGTTAAAGTCTCTGACCTGAGACCAGCAAGCCACCTGGGGCTTCATGTGGCCGACTAACTTAGTCGAGGATCCTGCTCTCTGAGTCTGCTGGATGCTGAGGGCCTTTTTGCTTTTTCATTTACTTTTCATTTACTCTCATCAAATAGCTATCAACCACTGAGTATTTGCAATCTGCAAGGCACTGACCTGCATTGTGTCCTGTGATTTTTTTGTTCCTGGGGACTCCATCCTGTGACCTCAAAACTGAGAGGAAAACCCCCCCCCCAAGCTCCTTTTCAGAACAGTC